CCCCCCCCCCCCCCCCTTCTCCAACATTTTTTAGTTCGTTTATCGTGACCCCCCCTGCGTCAAGGTACCTGTCGAGAGCGGTTGTGACGATGCCCTGTCACACGCATTGCATGATTAGACTGGACTATCTACTCTAGGCTGGAAGACAACAACAAAAGTGAGATGGCTTTGGGGAGGTTGTTGGAGTTGAGAGGGTGGGAAAATACGTGTTCAATGATTGCAAGGGGTTGTGGAAAGATGGCCGGCAGTTGTTGTACATGCCATGCTGTTAACGTAGCCAATTGGGATTGATATTTTCAATTTCCTGGGGTAAAATAATACAAGTTCCGTCAATTAGAAGAGGCTCCTTGTTTCAGACATTTTCCCCCTCACTCTACAGTGTACTTACATGAAGTATTCCGATCATCGGAACAATACCTATGCACTCCGTACGTCGTATGCATTAGTTCACACAGAAAGGGGAGAATAAAAAAGGAAGGATCGCGGACATGGTTATTTCGGGTGCCTAGTCGAACAAAGCGCGGAGTTGGGAAAGAAAAGCTAGGCTACAAGGCAGACGTGAAAAGAAAAAGCAAGGCGCGATGTGATATTGGAGGCTGGGGGATGAGGATGAGCCACGTTTAACGTGTCTGATTGGAAGAGACGCGGTTGCGCTGTGGCGGCGCCTCTTTTTGAAGGATTGCGCGTTATACTACCTATTCTTTCTAGTGCTACGCCTTGTTTTTATGAAATGTCGAGGCTTGGTCTTTGAATCTGAGGGTTGCCTTTTACTTCAATTGCTACTTGCAGCTGTTTTTTCCGAATCTTTCTCGATGATACAGGGTAAGCATCAGGAATCGTGTAAGTACTCCGCAAATACATATCCATTATTCCAACGAATAACCATCCGTCTCTCTAGTATAAAAGGCAGAATAGCTCGCTTGAACGTGTCTATGCACGCTAAAAAAGAACGTGTCACGTTTCGACGCCCATATAAAAAAAAGAAAAAGAACCTATAAGCGTGTCCCCGCGTTCGCGCAGCAAGAGAAAAAAAAAAAGGTGCCAGGCGTGTAGAAAAAAGCGTGATGCGGGTAGCAGTACAGTAGTGTAAGTGTGTGTGGAGATGCCGCCAAGTTTTTCCTTTTGGGCAAATCTCGTGGTCATGTCATGTTTTTGTGCTCACCGCCACGGCTCTCCATTCGCGGAATCTCTCTCTTCTTGTATGCTAGGTTCCCGTTATGGAGAAGAACCATTGGGTGCCGTCCTGCTGCGTCTATGTCTATTGGCTGAAGGTGGTACATGCAGGTTGGTGGGATGAGGTTTTGATAGCTTTCCTTTCTTCTTGGGCAAGTATTTTTCTCATTTCGGCGAATATGATAGGCTAAAATCCATATCACCAGTCCCATTAGGCAATGCCCGATCTTTTTTTTTGAAAGTCTAGAAGAAGGAATGGATGTTGATGGTGGGCATGCAGTCTAGGTACGAAATACCACCCTGCAAGGGCCGAGGTTCGATACGGCAAATGCCCGCGTTTGGCGCGCCTATATGCCCGATGGCAATCACATCGCATCTTAACTCGTCGCGCTGCGCGAAGAGAAGCTTACACGACCCAACGCTGCGCGTAACATACGCACAACGTGTGTACTTTGTATGCCTGACAAGATGGTGGAGAGAAAAAAAAAATGGTGGTAGCCGTGCCGTAGTGGATTTCCCCCCTCCAACAAGACCCGGATCTGCGGAACAATCGGAGAAGAAATCAAGAAAATGGAAGAAAAAGAAGCAGAAGCAGAAGCAGAAAATAGAAAGCGCTGAGCTACACAGCCCGCCCTATCACGAGCGCAAAAAAATGGTGACCGTCATCGTACCTAGCTGGGGCGATTGATGATTTGCTTCGGATCTGGAAACGTGACTACAATTAAATGTCCCTCCCCCCTGGATGGGATGCGAATCGCCGCCCGATGTTCGAGATGATGCAGTAAAGTGCCGGAGCACACACACACACACATACATACTCACACATGCATATACCAAATCGATGTTAGTGAAAGATGGGCGTGTGATGCGATCAACAAAATATCCCAGCTTTGCAACGGAACCTTTCTGTCCTAATTTTAAAAAAAAGAATGAATCGTCCGTTTGGCGTAACATCATACAATCATACAATGCCCATGCCCGTCATCCACACTAGCTCAGTGATCAGACGATTTGACATCTCCGTATATCACGCTCTCCCGTTTTCTTGTCCTTGTACCGTAGCACCATCAAAATGGCCTCCCATCTATTATGCGCCAATGACACAGCAGCAGCAAGCGCCCGGCAAACAAAAGAACATTTGGATGCGCTTCGGCTTTTGAAAACAAAGTCACCAGATAGACGGACAACCCCGTAATCTCTCCCGTCCGTCCATGTAAGTTAAGTCGTGCTACTTCTAAGCCACGCCGGAAGAAAGATACAAAACAGCTCCTCTTTTTTCTTAATTCTTCATCTTCTTTAATTATTATTGGCATCATCCACAGTGGCAAAAGCCAGCTCTTCCTTCTCCACGTGGCCAGTCACAGGACATCTACGCTTTCTCATTAGTCTAAAAACCAGTCAGATGGCGGGTGCCGTATCGGGCTGTGATGGCATCCCAAGTTTAATGGCTCATAGAGCTTAGCTGGTAGCTTATACCCTGATTTCTGTCCAATGTTGCATGCTCTACGGAGTCAAGAATATATGAAATTTCATACTGTAGCAGAAAAATGTATGATGATTGTGACGCCGACCATCTTCAGTGAATACGAGAGCGGAACGTAGTCTTGGAATGGTCTATCGCTTGGTTTTTGTCTGGCGGGGGATCAACTGACAGCTTCTTCCCCTCCCTCTATTTTGGTACATGTACCGAAGCCACCAGACAGCTTGGCTGGGAGCTGATAGCTACGGCGGGCGGCTAGCAGACATGGACACACAGAGCTCCCCCAAGCTACCCTTGCACAAACAGGCAAGCTCAAAGATCATCACTGACAATCGATTGCCTCTAGTCTCTGTGACTCAGATCAATACGAAATCAATCTTTAGCAATTTCAGCACTAGTCTTATCAACAGAGGCATTAATCAAGTTAGGCACTCAAGCATCTCGCATTGAAGAAGAGGAAGAAAAAACTCTATCCTCACATGAGCTTAGAGAAAAACCCCGCGGTCCCAGCTATCAAATCTCTCCTTTGCCGCGATAGCAGCAACGTTTAAAAAGTTACAGGCACTGAGAGCGTTAAAAAAAGCTACTTCGGGCGTAGCATAATAAAAGCCCTCATCACAAGTACCACCAAGCTTTAGCTTCTGTCATGGATTCATGTTAGTGCGAGCGACGGGCTAAGAGACGGCCGCCAGCGGATCATCCGCTTACATGTATAGAACGGTGCTAGCATTGTAATCTATCGTCATTGTTCTGCAAGATGGGGCATCTCTGGACCCTCGATGATTTTCTCTTTCTTTGGCGCTGTCATGCATCGTTGCTGGGGAAATTTCATTTCGCAATCTAGAATCCTTATGGAGTCTCGAGTACATTTCATTGCTTTCGTCTGTATAACCTTCATGCGTGTCAAGTGGCGCTATATGCTTGTCAGTAAAGTATAGATATCAAATGTTGCTCTTCAAAGCCACTTCAAGCCACCATGTGGAAACGCCCCGCTCGTACCGTACCGTTACCCGCTGCCGTTTTCTCTTTGTTCACAACAAAAAGCCTCCAACACGGCTCTGACAAGCACATACAGTACATGTAGTCAAGCTTTCATCACCCCAGCGCTTGCTCGAGGTCACGTTCAGCTCTCTTGTCTTTTACGTCCGCTGGTGTTGCCCGCTTCTGCTTACAAGCTACCCGCCAACGGTCCATCTCTGGATCCTGATGGGCTCCGTAGTTCATCCTTCTGCGCCGCGTAGTTTGCGGTTGCTACTGTATGCACACTGCTCTCAGTAGCGGCGATACAGAAGTCGCAAGTACCATTTTGCTTATAGCTACAATGTGTAGGTACTGTTTGTCGTTGTACGATTTGTGGCAGCAAAAGCCCCTCTTCTCGCTCCCCGCAGACTTACAGCTCAGCTCAATGCTTGGCCGCTCTATACCGGACTAGCAAGCTAGCGATAGACTCGACGGGAAGCTTATTGTGGAGGAGTGACGGTACTCTTCCTCTCCCTCGTACCAAGTACTCCTCGTTCGTTCTCTCTAGCTCTAGTGGCTCGACTCGTGTCAGGTCCAAGCTGAGCGGTCCAGTCAGGAGAGCGTAGCTTGGCTGCTCGTCCACCACGCGGGTTTCACTGGGGCCGCACGTCGTCACCTGGTTGGGTCGGCGGACGTTTTGTCGAATGGAATGTCTTGGAAGCCCAGAGCCGGATTGGAGGAGGGGCTTCTGACAGGCTCCGGGGCCCTGTCCAATCACGCGGCAAGAGGTGCGGAGCCCGCCCAAGGCCTCATGTTTCTGCTTGGGCACGTCTCTTCTCTTTTTGCTGCCATAGCCTCGCTGGCCCGCCTGAGGCGACGACACGACAACCTGTTCCTGGATCTAGCGGTGGTTGGAGGCACGTTGCCTGCGTAGATTCCCGCTTTTCTGCCAGTCACAGGCGTACAGCCTCCATCCTTGTCGACTTGACGCTCCACGCTGGCACTTTTCACGTCGAATGGCGAGGTGAGTCGACTTCGAAAGGGTGTGGCAGGCCCATGGGAGGCCCATATGTATTGGCTACGAGAGAGGGGCGAGCCGCGTCTGTCTTTGTGACAGGCCATGGATTTGATAGTGGAAAAGAGAAAAAAAGAAAGCCCCAGATGGTGTCATGCAGCAACGCTTGTTGGTTTCTGGGCGCAGCGAATGGCAACCCGCGGCCACATGCAAGTCGAGGCCAGAAAGTGCAACCAAGCCTCCGTCGGCGATATCTAACGATGCGATGCCATATGCATATGGCTGGAGACCTTGGGACGGCACAGGTATCAATACCTTTGGCGGCTGCTGCCATGGCGGGGCAGAACAGTGAAATGCAAGTAGAGGTACCGGACCACCTGTGCTTGAGCTTGAGATACCGGTATACCCCGTGGAGGCTCGTGATGCGGGCAACATTGCTCTGCTGCGTCGCACATACAGGTCCATGTATGGAGTGCATGCCTCCTCACATGCCTCTGAAGCAAGGAGCTTACGAGCATGTAAGGATCAGGTATGAGCTCCGTGTTCGTACGGTGGCTTTTGCTCCGTATATCGGTAATCCTGCAGCTTTTCTGCTCTCCCTGGGTCCAACATACAGACATTGCTCTGCCGTCTCGTATGTCCAAGCAATGGCCCATGCGCCGTCTCCTTCAAAGCGGGGGAGATGCAAAGAGCGAGACGATGCGGGTCAGTCTATTGAAATCTGTAGATGGTCGCTCTAGGCGACGGGAGGAGTCCATTGTTTGCGTTTCGCCTTTCTTCAGTCTGTCTTGCTTTACTCGCTATGCCCCTCCATGGTCCCTTGGACGGCCTCCCCGCAGTCGGTCACAGCTCGCTCGCTCCTTTGGCGCGCTTGTTCCTGTAAGACCCCGGTCTATCGCGGCCGGCAGCACGGATGCATCTTGGAGACTGTGCCTCGCATATGTACAAGTATATAAGCTGCTGTTTGGCGAAAGCCGCCTACCCAAGAGAGGCAAAGGATTTGAACCCGGAGTCTGTGTGAGGGCGTCGAGCTGCCGTGTCATTGGCGAGGGCAGATGCAGGTGAAGGAGGACCGGGGCCATCGGAGAGGGAGACGCTCATGGGATGCGATTGCTGGCCAGCGAATGACGTTGAGGCAGAGCAAAGGGAGGCAGCGAGCGATGGAGTCGAGCCTTTCTCGTGACTGGGGGTGACGGGCTCGCAGGAGCTGCTGATGCTCGCCTGGGCTGATGGCTTATGTGCCGCGTCCAATGGATGCGATATCGAGGCAAGACACTCGAGTACCTGGAGCTACATGGATGTGCCTTGAAGCCATTGCCAGCCGCTGTGCCGTCGCTGAAGCTCTTGCCTTGATGCAGGAGCAACCACCACGAGGCCGTGGAGCTCCCAGATCGTGATTGCCCATCATTCCTCTCCACATCTGGAACCGTGGTTGCGTATCTCTGATGCGCCATTATGTCTGTAAAACGTATAATAACCCTCCAGGTCGAGCTCGCAGGAGAGCGTTGGGCTTGTCCAGCCAACTTGTTCGCGGCCTGCACGCAGGAAGCGGGCAGCAGTTACATGACACTGAATCTCATCACACCTTGTTCTCTTTCTGGAAGATAGCAGCAGCACCTCGCATCTCATGCAGCCTGCCGTTGCATCTCATCCTGCTACCAATCTCCACAATCTCACTTTGCTCCATCTGCGTCTTCCATGTTTGTTCTTTGGCTCCCTCTCGCTATTCCTAATCAATTGCTTTCTTTCTACAGTAGTCTTTTCCTTCTGCCGACGACTGCGTGTGGGGGTCTTCCCAGGATCCAAGCTCTGCCCAACAGGGACGAGAACTCGTCACTACGCCCAATAGCATCTTGTCACAGGGGCCGGCTCTACCTGCACTCCAAAGTACCGTTTCGCCATTGACTGTACACTCTCTTTTACTTTGAATACGACTCACCATTGTACAATACGCATCCATAGCCCAAGACTCCTTGCGCCTGAAAGCTATCGCTAGCTCCCTGGTTGCGGCCTCGAGCTACACCGCCTGTACCTCTCATCACTGGGACAATCCCCATAGATCAACTGCCTGAGACTGCGAGTCCCCTCCGTTTTTTCATGTACAATTACGCTATTTCCTTGATTTTCGCATGCAAACCCGTGCTATTCGATATTGCCCGCCTATTCTGCTGCCTTGGCAGCAATTGATCGACCGCTGCGGCGCTTGAGCTCCTTTCTCCGCATTTAACACGCGGCTCCTATAAGCGCCTGGCCTGAATCCGCGAAACAGGCTCGCCACGCTACAGTACAGCGACGCAGCATCTGCCTTGCACCAGCCACGCTGGAATCGCTGAAGAATACCCAATTAATTCCACCAGCCCTGCCCGCCCTCTTGCCGCTCAGCAATTGACTCACCTTTGCTGTTTGCGTTTGCGTTTGTTATATCCAGGGAGAGCAAAGAGACAAGTCATTGATTGCTCAATTGCCTGTCATCGTCATCGTCATCGTCATCGGACTCTTGCTCATCTCCTATTAAAGCGAAACATCCATCCTGCCGCTGCTACTCGGACGATACCAGACGTCAGCCGATACCTGCGCACCTGCGACCTGGTACCCCTCGCGTCTTTTTCTCTCACTCGGTTGCCCCCTGGTTTTAAAGCAGCTTTTCACGGCGAGAGCTGCTTACAGGTACCTTGAGCGCTCTGCTGGGTACATGTATAATACGACTTACTCACTGTGTATCTGTGTGAGCTGCATGAGAGAAAGCCCTGGAGTCATCACCTAATCTGTGTCTGATTACATACGTGCACTCGTTCGCCGGTTGCTGCTTTGAGATCAATTATAAACGCAAGGAGAGAGGGAAACAAGAGGCTGGCTCATCGACAAACAGCATTCGCTCACTTAAGCGCACTCACTCGCTCCCTCACTCTTATTTACTCACGCATTCGCTCACTCACCCTCTGCTTGCTCATCCGTTGCTCTGCGCTGCCACTGCCCTGCTTTGGGTTTGTCACGCGCTCCAGCGCTGTCCTCCCAGTCTGTCTGGCTGACGCATTCACTGTCCCCCTTCCGATTCGCTCCAGATCCAGCGCCGGACCCTGACCAATCCCACCGCCTCCATATTCTTCTGTCGCCTTCTCCGAACCGAGGACGCCGGCCAAGCTGCGAGAGCGAAAAAGGCGCGTGGACCAAGACGGGCGAAGACGGGCGCCGAGACTGAATACCGATAGCTAATACCGACTTCATCGCTTGCTGTCGCCAATCCCGCTGGGCTATAGTTGCCATTGCCGTCGGCGTCGTCAACGTCAAGCCTCAGCCACGTTTCCTCGTCCCAAGAGCTTTTTAACCCGCCACGCCTCCCGCCCGCCACCAGCCCGGAGCAGAACCGCGAGCTAAAGAAAAAGCGCTGGTCCTACCTGGAAACCGCTCGACCGCCCAAATCTCACCATCCGCAGCCCACCCGCTCAACTCACCATCGACTCGACTCGCTCCCCCACCACCCTCTACGAGGTACTTAGACGAGATACTTGAGTGCTCGCTGCGCTACGCCGTTAGCAGCGACGGATCCCGCCTAGGCCGCTTGACTCGCGCCCCTCCTCTGCTGCGCTCCGCTATTAGTGCCTGTCCTGTGCCTTGTCCCTGTTGCCAGCCATAGCGCCCAGCGCCTCCTAGCACGCCTAGCACGCCTAGCACCCTCTAGCCCTGGCCCGTTTCTGCCGAATCACCTCGTGCAGCCGCCGTCCGGGCCCGTGACCTCACGACCTCAGGTACAAGGCCCAAGGTACCAGCGATCCCTCTCCCCCCAAACAGCCAAAAGGGGACGGCGAGCCTCCATCTTGATTCTCCCGCAAGCCTTGCGTGTGCTTCGTTGCATCAGTCCAGCCCGTCTTTTTTTCTTTTTTGCCTCTGGCTTGCCCTGTCGCCGGTTGTCTGATTTCCCTTCCCTTTGCATCTGACTGTTCTGCTTCTTGCTCGGAAGGCTGTCATTCCTTTTTCAGCCAAATCAGCGGCGGCTGGCATTCCATTGCAGGCAGCTGGGCTCTTATTATTCGCCTCCCCTACAAACTCTTGCTGCTCGTACTTGATAGTACAACTTTTACTACCACCTACCTACTACTTCCTACTACCACCTTACTCATAAATTGCCCCCTCATCCTCAGGCCATCTCTGACCGCAGCGCCCCCTTTTTTCCCTTGTCTGCGCGCGCTCTTGGTCTAAGAGAGCACTTCAAGAATTCGTCGAAGCCTCACAATCACCGTCGCAGTGGACTCGATGCAAGTTGCCCTCAGGACGCCTCTATAGGTAGACTTTTTGACACAACCTCACAACTGCCGCAAGGCACTCCAATCATCCCCCTTTCAGCACCACCCACCATGAGCTCCTCGTCCCTCCCAGATCACTACAAGGTTCTCGGTGTTGCCAAAGATGCTCAGGAAAAGGACATTCGCACGGCCTATCGCAAGCTTGTCTTGAAGTGCCATCCCGACAAGGTGCAGGACCCGACGCTCAAGGCTCAGAAGCAGGAGGAGTTCCAAAAGGTCCAGCAGGCCTATGAGCTGCTGACCGACGAGGAGGAGCGCAAAAAGTACGACGACCAGGTCAGATTGGCCGAATTGAGAGAGCAGCTGCGCAAGACTGCCGTCTCGACCCCGCCGCGATCAGCCGCCTCCAGATCAGCCTCCAAGACCAGATTTAGCACTTTTGAAGTTCGGACTGCCGACCCGCATCGCGCCTCATCCTACAAGGCGTCCCCCGGCGTGCCCCCGTCAGCCTCAAAATCATACCCGCACTCGCGATCCTATGAAGACGACCTGGGTTACAGCCATCGTGTGTACAGCTCTTCGCGCACAAGGAGAGGAGACACTACCTACGTGGACAGTCGCTCAAAGCGGGATAGCGAGAGAGAACGGGAACGAGAACGGGAACGAGAACGGGAACGAGAACGGGAACGAGAACGAGAAAGAGAACGGGAAAGAGATAGAGAACGAGATCGTGATCGTGATCGTGAGCGAGAACGGGAGCGAGAAAGGGACCGAGAACGAGAGCGCGAACGAGAGCGCGACAAGGAGAGCAAAGAGCGCGAGCGCAGAAAGAAGGCCGAAAAGGAGGACGCCGCTCGCCGCGCTGAGAGGGATGCCAAAGACGCTCGCCGAGAGAAGAAGACAAAGGAGAAGAAGGACGACAAGAAGAAACACACAAAGTTGGCGACTGCCTACGATGATTTCAGCGACGATACTATTTCCCCCATCCCCAAATCCGACAAGAAGAAGTCGAGCAAAAAGTACGATGACAAGCAGCGGGATCGAGATCGCTCCTCTCACCGCGACGCCATTCCCATAGTGTCTCCTCCCCTTGTCCAGTCTTATCCCGAATTTGCGACAAGCAAGTATGAGACTCTGCGAGCCGCGCCAGCCGCTCCAGAGCAATCTTCTTCCTGGGAGGACACCCATAACAAGTTGCAAGATGCTCACTCTTACATTCAGTTCACTCGGCAAAAGGAGAAGGAGGCAATCCCCCCTCCTGGTGGCCTGAAGAGGTCTATGACTTACAGCCACCACATAAGCCAGCCTCCCGCTGTCCCAACTCCCCCACCTGCCCCCAACCAAGCATCTGTCTTTCCCGTCCCCGAGGAAGATGATGCTCGTCGTTCATCGGCGGCGGCCGCCGCGCGACCCCGTCGTGGCTCGGCGGAAAGCAACCATGCCAAGTACAACAGGAAGTCATCGCGAGAGCCTGTTGCTGACTCTGTCCCCATGAGCTCCCCACGCCATGCACAGCATGCGACAATGTCTGGGTCGCCCCCTCATTTGTCGAGGACAAAAACGATGCCAGCTGACCCAAGCAGCTATGCGCGAGCTGTGCCCATCACTCGCTCCAAAACCTATAATTATGGAGAAGGCTTTGAGGGTCGCGGACGGAATCGCTCGCGCTATACCGCGCAGCAAATCAATGAAGAAGACGACTCGGATGACTATCACCAAGCGAGAGATCGCAGAAACCGTCCCGCCGGGAGAGATCAATCCGTGGATCAAGGCTATGCAGAAACCTCTCGATACGCCGGATACGAGAGTGGCCGACAGCCCTCGTATAGCCGTCGCGCCGCAGAGCCAGAGCAGGATCGATATGCCTACTACTCCGGCCACAGTGACAGCCGACCTGCCATGCCCACCCGTGAAAGTGGCTATTCTACTTCGGCCGGATCTGGTCAATTTTCAAAGCCAAAGATCAACAAGAACTACTCGTACGAAGACGCACATTACACCACCTATCAAACCCCCAAGTCGCGCGAAGGATACCCCGCGTACGCTTGACGGCGTCTGGCTTCCATTATTATATTCCATTTCATATTCGTTTTACTATGTCTCCCTATTTATGACCTGGCCTTGGCCTTGACTCAGCGATATTTCACTGAAAATAAAGATCCTCTACGGGAGCTTTGGTACTCCTTTGAGTCTCATTAACAGAACTGTTTGCATATTCTGTCTTTTTCTACATCTCTCTTTCCTTGAGATTTCGATACTTCTTTCGTTTCCTTTCTTTTCCAATTCTGTCTTGGTTTTACCTGCACGACGAGATGAGATGATCTATTTTACGATTTTAACCACAATGAGGACTGCACTGGTGTTGCGTCCACCATATGGGATGATGGCTTTACCCCAACCTTTTCTTATTGTTTCTGAGCGTGTATATTGGACGGTGGCAATTTTATTCCCTCTCTCCTTATATCTCCCACGATTTTTAAGATTGTTTATTCGAGGATACTGCAAGTGGAACCTTCACTCATTGTATCCGGGCTTGAGGAGGGGGATTTGTTTGTTTTTTGCATGCGCACATGATACAGGGGCCCAGTCCTTTGAAATGTGCCACCTGGCGTTTATGTTTTTCTGGAGGAACCACATCAGTTACAACAAGCCCAAGGATACCATTCGCTCTTTTTTTTCCTCCTCTTTAGAACATGGGCATGAATTTGTTGGACGACAAGAGATTGAACAGAACAACGGCTGAATGATGGACACTACTAAGCATTTACTTGTTTATTTATTGGATAGAAGCCGTGACATGACAGCGCGCGCCGGAACGCGAGACGACTTTGATGAATCTTTTTTTTTTTTTTTTTTCCTTTGGACGGATGTTGCTTGACGCCATTTTACCTGATCAGGATTTGCTTTTTCTTCTCCTTTTCCTTTTCTCTTTTTCTTTCTTTCCCTCTCACTTTCGCATTGGAAACTTACCTATGAGATAAAGACAAATATATAGCTAGCTCTCTGCGACTATAAGGCAGGACTTGAATATGAATATGAATACAAGAATGGAAGCCGAAAACTTTTTTCCTGACTTTTCTTTTTTAGTGATTCATGATGATGAGAATGAGTTTTAGTGAGCTGCAACAGTTGAGGCTTATGAAGGGAGCGTAATTGATTCCAAATCGCTTCGTATCCCACTTCAGTTGCGAGCGAGGTATTATTCCACTCATGGGCAAAATCATAGTCAGCTTATAGAAGACGGATTCTCCCTTGAAGATGTATTGCTCAATCGAAAATCATCAGCAAGGCTTCTTAAGTAGCGTCTTCGTCTTATTTGCTCATTTCGATTTCCGTTTTCATTTTCATTCTTATTTTTTCCCACCTTTCTCCGCAGCAAAGTTGTACCAACAGCTCCTCCAAAATTGCGGGCGGGCTTTGTTTGTGCCCATTTGCTATACCTAGTAATAAAAATCTCTCCGCTTTGCCAAAAGGTGGGGAAGTTGGCAGCATTTGCAATAGGTACGTAGTTCAGGATTTCTAAGCAAGCGTATCATATTGACGCATTGCTATTTGATGGAAAGGAAAATAGTATATATAGATCGGGTGCGGTAGTCAGCAATCGCAACTTCGTACATTGCAAATAAGATTTCAAAGTCTACGATAAGTTATTTTTTTTCGAGATGGGTATCCCGACTGATATTACGCTTTACACGGCTGGCACGCCGAATGGCATCAAGGTCTCCATCTTGCTGGAGGAGCTGGGTCTGGAGTACAAGGTGAGTCTCATCTCATTCAAGACAACTACCATCTTCAAAAAACAACATACGCGTATAGTTGGCAACTAACAACTTCTTTCAAAATGTAGGTCCATCCGATCAAGATGAGCACCAATGAGCAAAAAGAGCCGTGGTTCCTCGAAATCAACCCTAATGGCCGCATCCCCGCCATCACGGACAAGTGGACGGACGGCTCCGACATTCGCGTGTTTGAGAGCGGCGCCGTTTTGCAGTATCTCGTGGAGCGGTACGATAAGGATCATAAGGTTTCGTATCCGAGGGAGGCGAAGGAGACGTGGGAGGTGAATAGCTGGGTGAGTGCTCTTCTTCTTCTTCCCCCGCTTTACTTGATATTGTATCATACTTGACAAAGAGAACTGAAATGGCTGACTCTATCCACGTTTAGCTTCACTGGCAGATGGGTGGTTTGGGTCCTATGCAGGGCCAGGCGAACCACTTCAACAGTACGCTCTTCCTTCTTCCTTCTTTGGTATTTGGCTACTAAACTTGCTTGTAGGATATGCGCCTGAAAAGATCCAGTACGGCATCAACCGCTACGTCAACGAGACTCGCCGCCTCTACGGCGTCATGGAGTCGCAGCTCGCAAAGTCGTCGTCGGGCTTCCTCGTCGGCGACCGCCTTACTATTGCTGATGTTGCGGCCTGGGGATGGGTTGCCTCTCACGGTAAGTCTTGGCTTCTGTTGTATTTGATCATCATCATTATTTGCTAACGAGTGCTTTTGTTCAGCCTACGCCGGTGTCTCACTGGACGAGTTCCCGCACATCGACAAGTGGCTGCACACGCTCCTCGAGCGACCCGGCTTTGAAAAGGGCCGCAACGTGCCGGACAAGCACACGGCGTTTGAGACGGCCAAGCTGACGTCTGAGGAGATGGACAAGTTGGCGGAGTCGTCGAGGGCGTGGATTCAGAAGGGCATGCAGGATGATGCGAAGAAATGAGAGTGCGTGACTGTGAGTGTAAATGTGAGTGTGGCATTTGTGTGACACTGAGAATGGGTCATTAGTGGCGATGAAGGGCACCACTAGGATGAGAAACGAAATTCAACTTTTAATGCATTTCTTGTTGCAAGCTGTGTAATATACCTATAAAGCGATATATGAGGCATAAGTCACTGGGTGAGTAATGGTGCTTGTTCAACCTCGATTAGAAGTCAAGTCATATGAGACAACTCACATTGTACGCTTCTGCTCTCAAACTCGCGGTAAAACTTGGACTGTGAGCGAGTGCAAAGTGTGACTAACTATCATCCAGATCGACAGGCTAATTGCGTGCTCAGCAGCAACATAGGTAGTGTCTACCGTAATCAACACGGAAGACGACATCCGAGCAGCGGCCCATCGGCTCTTACTCTTACTCACTCGCCGGCCTCTCCACACAACCACCAAAGACAGACTGTGTTGTTTATAAGCTCATCTAATTTGTATTTTCAATCTCTTGCTTCCAGCCAATGATCTGTTCCAAGTTTTCAATGGTTATCGGCAAGGAACCAAAAACCCCTGCATCGAAGCGAGAGCGCAGTAGCAATTTTTTTGCCGCCTTTGGCTCATCACGAAAGACGCACAAGGCGATGGTGCAATTCCCGCTTTTGGGGTGGGTGTGAGTGGGTTGCAGGGAAGATCCCTAGCGCGTGATTTGGTGATAGGAAGACAAGAAATAAAAAATAAAAAGCTTTCGAGCAGACTTATACAAGTGGGTTTGCGCAATTGTTGGATTGAATTGTTCAGTATCTAGTTGTCCTGCTAGTTAAAAGAAACAGCCACTCCCATCCAGTTTCCACAACTCGCAACTTCATCTCGTCATAATCAGTAGTACATAGTAGATTCACATCACCATGGCCTCAACAACACCAAATACAAACCCACCAGAATCCTCCACCGACATTGAGCGCCAATCCCCCCCAACATCCCGCGAAGACTCGCCTCTCCTCACCACGCCAAACGAAGACGATGCTTCCGAGGCCTGGTCCCCCCCGGCTGGCTTCACGCCCATCCAGCTCGCCATCATGACAAACGTCTTCCTCTACGGCTTCGACGGCACAATCACCGCGGCCACCTACGCCGTCATCAGCTCCGAGTTCGACGCCGCCAACAGCGCCTCGTGGCTGACCACGGCGTACCTCGTCACCGCGACGGCGTTCCAGCCGCTCTACGGCCGCGTGTCGGACATTTTTGGCCGCCGGATGTGCTTTTTCGTGTCGACGGTGGTGTTTGCCGTGGGATGTCTTGGGTGCGGCGTGGCGAGCACGGTGTTTGCGCTGAATTGCATGAGGGCTGTTACGGGAGTTGGAGGAGCGGGACTGATGACGATGGGTGTGTTCAATTCTTGACTTCACGTACATTTCCCCTTATACTGACTTTGCATTATAGCCACCATCATCAACTCGGACATGATCCCCTTTCGCAAGCGCGGCATGTACCAGGCCATGCAAAACGGCGTCGTCGGCTTCGGCGCCATCTGCGGCGCCTCCTTTGGCGGTACCATTGCCGACTTCATCGGCTGGCGCTGGTGCTTCCTCCTGCAGGTGCCCTTTTCCATCTTTGCCTTTGTCGCGGGCTACTTTGTGCTCGGGAGCCAGCATCAGGGCATCATCACCGAAAGCGGATTCGCCGCGCTGTGGAAGCGAGTCGACTTTTCGGGCGCCTTGTTGCTTGTCACTGCTGTGTCGACGCAGCTGCTGGGCCTGAGCCTCGGCGGGAACGAGTTGCCGTGGAGCAGTCCGTGGGTTGTTGGGGCGCTGGCGATGAGTGTGGTGCTGTTTGCTGTGTTTGTTCGCGTTGAGGGGAGTACGACTGCCATGCCGATTATTCCGTTGAGGATGCTGCAGGGGACGATGCCGATTGCGACGCAGGTTGCCAATCTTTGCGCGGGCATGTCCATGTATGGCGTAAGTTTTCATCCCTCCTATATGTAAAGCAAAGATCATATAACTAATCCGGTACCAATCAGTATCTCTTCATGCTTCCGCTATTCTTCCAGGCCATCCTGCAAGACTCGGCTACCAAAGCGGGCATTCGTCTGTCTCTACCTTCGCTGGCCATGCCCTTGGGAGGCCTCATCTCGGGCACAGTCATGTCTCGCTGGGGCAAGTTGATTCCGCTTATGCGAACGGGACTCGTTCTCATGACGGTCGGCCAAGCGATGGTCTCGTCGTGGGCCTTTTCGGATGCGTCGTGGAAGTATGTCTGGTACATATTTCCCTCTCACCTGGGCACGGGAATGGTGTATCCGGCTATTCTGTTTATATCGATTGCGTCCCATTCTCATTCAGGTATGCCTCACACATGCAGTTCAATTGCATAGCAGTCTTTCATTAACATTCATCTACAGACCACGCCGTGTCTGCTTCGACCACCTATCTCGTTCGATCCCTCGGAACCGTCTGGGGCGTATCCGTCACATCGGCCATTGTTCAAAACACGCTCAGCGTCCGCTTACCACAGGTCTTGAGCGAGGTACCAGATAAATGGAGAGTACGACCCTTTTCTTTATGTCGAGTTTTTCCATGATTTTTTTCGAATATTGTGAGGTAAATGACAACTGACGCAGCATTTTTCTTTCTTGTTTAGATCATTGATGAGATCCGCCACTCGGTGGACGCCCTGCAGACGCTGCCGCCTGATATCCAGCTCAGCGCTCGGCTGGTATACTATGATGGACTGAGGCTTGCTTTTATGGCGACTACGCTGGTGGCTGCTGTTGGAGTGGCTGCTGCGTTTATTGCGAACCCGGCCAACTTGCGAAAGACGCATTAAGACCAGCGATTACGAGTACGGGTCAAATGCGATATGAGGCCCGTTTGCCATAGGATGCCATGTCGTGTAGATTGTAGTTGAGCTGGGGCACCATGATAGGTTTAGGTGCTCTATACGTCGTCAATTATAATGATCGACTTTGCCAACAACTTTGAATCTGGTCTGCTGGGTGTTGTGGGAAGGAAATCAAGCAGTAGCATTGTCAGAATCAGATACTATGTGCCGTTTAAGAACCGGACATTCAATTGATACTCTTACTTTTATCTTCATTAAATAAATCATTCTGTTGAAATGACGTAGTCTAAAGATAAAAGTGCGAATGAAGCTTAAAAGTCAATCAACGCTCTGAACCGCTAGGCGTAGCCACCATCTCCACCAAAACACCAAAAACCCGCATCTCCAGAACGTCATCTCACAAACAAAGCACCAAAAAAGTTCTCTCAAAACCAACACACCTTCTTACATCAAACACAATGTCTTCACAGCCGCCCCTCCCTCCATGGCTGCCCCCCCAGCTCTCTCAGTCGCCATCACCAACGCTCCACGCCCTCAGCACGTCTCTTCTTCCTCACCTCCTCGCCGCAATCTCCCAGATCGGCGCCTCGCTGCGCACTTCGCACCACGTGGCACTCGCCGGATCCGCGAATCTATTCGGAGACGACCAGCTCAACGTCGACGTCGCAGCCGAGAATGCAGTCCGCGCCGCGCTGGCAAAGTGCCCGCTTGTAGTGACTGCCAGCAGCGAGGAAGACCCGGAAGAGAAACAAGTTCACCAAACAGCAGCAGAAGCTTCTTCTCCTTCGGATGAGAGATTCTCAGTGGCGTTTGACCCTCTTGACGGCAGCTCCATCATCGGCGCAAACTGGTCCGTGGGCACAATCCTGGGCATCTGGAAAGGCGACACCGCACTCGGCAAGAGCCCCAAGAAGGACCAAATCTGCTCGATCCTGGGCGTCTACGGGCCGCGAACGACGGCCATTGTGGCTGTACGCGAGAACCCGCAAGATGCCGGCCTGTGTTTTGAGCTGGGCCTGGACGACAGCGGCTCCAACATTGAGCTCGTCCGACCAGACGTGAAGCTCTCCTCGCCGCCCTACAAGACGCGATACTTTGCACCCGCCAATCTACGTGCTGCTGCAGAATCGCCTTCCTACGCTTCACTCATTGCGTCCTTTATCAAGGAAAAGTACACGCTTCGGTACAGCGGGGGGCTTGTCCCAGATCTGGGCCACATTCTCACCAAAGGCCACGGCGTGTACATCTCGCCCGTGACGCAGACGAGTAAGGCGAAGCTGAGGAAGCTGTATGAGCTGTTTCCTGTGGGGCTGGTGGTGGAGTGTGCTGGGGGAAAGGCGGTGGATGAGGATGGAAGGGATGTGTTGGAGAAGGGAGTGGAGGGCTGTGATGAGAGGGGAGGAATTGTGTTTGGAAACACTGATGAGGTTGAGGAAGTGGTCAAGATGCTGCTGGGATGATGGGCGTGGATATGATAGATGTACGCTGTTACGAGTTCAACAAAGCCACGAGGAGCATATATAAGGGTGATTAAGCATATGGGTTAGGGTATATCAAAATATAAACATTAACCAAATCCATCCGCTAGCTATGATACTGCGTAGGTATGTAAACCTAGAAAAGAGCATGCTTATAAAATCATTTTAAACTCGGGGTCACGATCATCGCCACAACCGGCATACTGGTCGTATTTACCAGCCTTCTTGTCCCTGTTAATCTTGGATAGCCAGAGGATGTTGATCAAAACACTATTTATCCGCAGTCAGCTTCAAGTACAAGTGAGATGAAAATTACAATTCGATCAAACTTACGCAAACCACGCATAACAGAGCAAGCCCAGGATAATGGAGTGTCCCTTGAGATAGACAGGCCCCTCTTTATTCGGATATACAAATGCTGTAAAGAATTCCCCTCATTAGCAAAATAGACAGATGTCGAGGAGAGTGTATCAGAATGAAGGGGAAGTCATACTCGCAACAAACCCTCCGCAATTCGCCACCGCCAGCTGCAAAGCCGACGTCGTCGCCCTCTTGTAATGTCCCGCCGAGTTGTTCGCGTTCCACACCAGCACGCACGGCACGGAGCTGTACATGCCCATGGCCATGAGGCACGTCATGCCGAAGCGGACACTGGCCGACTGGACATGGGCGATTGTGGCGTAGCCGGCGATGGAGACGGGGAGCATGATGAGCATGGGGAGGCCGCGGAGCTTGATGCGGTCCGAGATGAGGGCGACGGCAACTTGGTGACTTGTCAGCATTTGTGTTTTAGACGTGAGTTGTGATGGACAAACGCACCGGTAGTGGGAGTCGCCACGGCATATGGAATGACGGTCCAGAGCTGGACTTTGTTGGCATTGGTCGTAATCTGAAGAGCATTGACAATCGTAGGCAGCTTTGTCATGTTAGCAGCCATTAAACCAACCGCACAGAGGATTTGCTGAAAGCCTTACAAAAAGACCAAACGAGTACACGCCCGAGAGCATGGCAAAGTAGGCCGTCGAAGTAAGCCAGATCTGGACGTTGAAGATGCCGCGGCGGACCTCGGACCATTTGAAGGCTTCTTCTGCTTCGATTGTCGGGCTATAGTTGAGTTCAGTCAGTTTGAGTCTCTGTAACACGGATGATGTATGGGAGACGCACTTGAAGCGGCCGCCGTTGTCGTTTGCCAACCTCTCAGAAGCGAAATCTCGCTCCTCCGTCGTGAGGAACTTTGCGCTCGCAACGCCGTTTGGCAGCCAGATAAAGGCTATGATGCCAGAAATAACAGTCTTTCATAATTACAAGTCAGCCATCATCAATTCGCACTTCATCAGTCGACAGAAAAACTCACCAACAACCCTTCAACAATAAAAATCCACCTCCACCCCTCCAGCCCTCCCCGCGGCCCAATCGCCGACAGTCCCCTCGCCAAAAGGCCCCCAAACGCACCAGACAGCGACGCCGCCGTGTAAAAGATGCCGATGCGCAGGGCCAGCTCGCCGCGCGTGTACATGCTGGACAGGTACAGCACGATGCCCGGGAACAGGCCGCCCTCGGCGATGCCCAGCAGGGCGCGCACGGCGGCGAAGCTGCCAAAGGAGCGGATGAAGCCGAGGCACATGGTGATGATGCCCCAGGCGACGGCGAGGGAGGGCAGCCAGATGCGCGGGGAGAATTTCTTGAGGACGAGGTTGCTGGGGAGTTCGCTGCATGGTGTTAGTTGTTATTTGTCACTACAGCAAGGCAAAGAACGAACCAGGCAATGTAGGTGGCGTAAAAGACGGCGAGGCCCTGCGAGTACTGGTTGTCGGTGATGCCCACGTCGGACTCGAGGCCGAGGATCTTTGCGTTGCCGACGTTGGTCCTGTCCAGGAACGAGCAGAGGAGCAGAAGCGCCAGAATAGGCATGACTCTGTCGTTGTAGTAATCCCGGTTAGCATCAATTGATAATGGCAGCCAATCAAGGTAAAAGTATGCTATAACAACCAGCTTTCCGTTGAGAAGCTCGGGATCAATCATACCTAGTGTCTATCTTGAACAGAATCTTCCTCGCCAACGCCGCTGCATGCTGGCGCTCCAGCTCAGAGCCGACTCCATGCTCCAGCTCCAGCTCCTGCTGCTTCTCATCCTCAAACTTCGTCTCGTCAAGACGCGACATGGTCACCGCAGAGAACAATAGCAAAACAATTATTCAGGTACTCTCACCGCCCAGAGGGTTGTAATGTAAAGGGTAGAGGTACACCAGAGATTGAGGGTGACAACGCGGCAGAGGAGCTTCGGGCAGTTTTCCCCCGGATTGGATTGGATTGGATTGGCACTCTAATACAGTAATTACTGACTCGTCTCTTTTTTCTCCGCATCTGCCTTTTCGGTTTGTCCCCATTCTTTCTTTACCAGGGTATAGTCGGGGAGCACAGATTAAGCAGGCAGAGGATTCGAGTCTGGAGAGCAGGGCGGCGGTTCTATCTCTCCGCAACCGAGCACAAGGCCTGCCCCGCATGGACCCTTGTCGTCTGGTTGCAAAGATAGGAAAAAGGGAGGTTCGTCCATGTTTTGGATGTGAGTCGTTGGGGATGGGTGAAAGATGGGGTAATGCTGAGTGTAGATCTGGTGCTGGAATGTTGGGGTTAGTCGGGTGTAGCGTGCATATACTATGATGGACAGTTATAGTGATGAAAAGTATCAAGATATAGCTTTGTCCAAATAGTGCCTATATCCACCGTGATACCTACATACCGAAATACGCTCTAATACGCTCTCATCATCTACATGTCTTCTGGGATGACTTCAGGCTATATCAAGACGAGCTTATGTCATCTCACAGCGGGAGCTAGGCAGTTGAAAAGGTTGATGCCATTTTGCGGGGTCCCCTCGCTTTACTCCAGGGTAGCCAACAGCTAAGATCTCGTTCCTGTACGCCGCGGCCCGCATGCTGTGGTTGAGTCAGTGTATGCGGCATGCTTGTAAATACGGGGTACACATCTACACACACGTGGCGATTCCGGAATGTGAAGCGGCAGTTTGCTCTACCATGGGCCTGACATGAATATTCTGCTTTCCGCAGTTGGTGCAGAACTAGCACGCTATGACGTTCCAGCTGATCAACTTTGAATGCCCACAATAGAGCACAGCACGGCCAGCAAACACGGCATAGACAGCAAGCACAGCGCAAACAAACCCAATCTGGGTATGAGATCATCGCCACATACAACAGCATTGCGTGGCGCCCGATATATCTCCGTCTTTTCCAAATACTGCTGCGAACGCCCCCTGCACCACTTAATCTTGTTCTCCGCCAATAGGAACAGAGGCAAAAGCTCATTCTTCGCCCGGGTCATCGGTATACCCGCTCCACACTAAAACTTCCGGCCGGCCGGCCAACCGGCTAGGGCAGATTCCCGAACAAGTGCCGTTTTAGGACTTCAAGCTGTGGCAATGCCGAGAAGTTGATATAAAAGAATAGGGTACTCTTTAGTTTTATAAAAAAGTTGAATCGAATCATTTCTCTGTTTACTTTTTGCTCTCAAAGAACAACATTCTCTTTGTCCTCTTTTCTTCACTTTGCATGCTTTGTTGATTGAGACTGACAAGCTACTACAAAGCCCTGCATCTTCTCTCTCTACATCTCTAAATTAAACTTTTTTCTATCTTTTTTTTTTTATCCAGCCAAACACAGTACACAAAAATGGCAACGCTACTTCGACCAATCCATTCGAAACTGGCTCTCCCCAGAGCCTCTTCTGTCAGATCTTCCTTTCTCAACTCCGCTGCTGCTCAGTTTCGCCAAACCACAAGAGCCAGCCCGGCAAGAACACGATTCCTCTCGACGACGACGATTCGCCTATCGCAGGCGCAGCAAACGCGACCAAAGTCCAAAGTCTACGATAGTGCCGATGCCGCGGTGGCAGACATCCAGAGCGGATCTACGATTCTGAGTTCCGGATTCGGCTTGTGTGGTATTGCAGGTATGATAAGCCATCTCGTGATTTTTATTGTCTGGGTAGTCTGTCAACTTGCGACAAAAGGGGGACAAGAATGTTTAATAAGAGAAAAAAAAAAAAACAACGGTTAAATCATGAAGCTAACAAATTTTCAGAAACCCTTATTCAAGCCATCCACCGTCGAGGCCGCGAATCGCTACACTCGCTCACTGCCGTCTCCAACAATGCCGGTCTCGAAGGCCGCGGCGGCCTCTCCCATCTCACAGAGTCTGGCCAGTTAGACAGCTTGATTCTATCATATACGGGTGGTAACAAGGTGCTCGAAAAGGGATATCTCGATGGTAAATTGTCCGTTGAGCTGTGCCCGCAGGGTACTCTGGCCGAGCGCCTGAGAGCAGCCGGAGCAGGCATTCCCGCGTTTTACACGCCTACAGGAGCACGTACGTGACACGAATACTCTACATGGAAATGGTGGGCATAGGCTAACAACTTCAACAGACACCCTCCTCCAAGACGGCGACATCCCCGTCCGCATCAACCCCTCCGGCGGCGCCCCCCTCGAAAGCGGCAAGAAGCGCGAAATCCGCGACTTCAACGGCAAGCGATACCTCATGGAAACGGCCCTCCCCGGCGACGTCGCCATCATCCGCGCCTGGAAGGCCGACACCACCGGCAACTGTGTCTTCCGCCGCACCACCCGCGCCTTCGGCCCGCTCATGGCAAAGGCCGCCCGGCTGACGATTGTCGAGGCCGAGAACATTGTGCCCGTCGGCGAGATCGACCCCGACGACGTACATCTGCCGGGCATTTTTGTGGATAGAGTCGTCAAGGCGACGGTGGAGAAGGAGGTCGAGAGTCTGGTGCTCCGGGAGGCTGAATCCGAGGTCAAGGCCGAGGACGCAAAGGGCAATGCCGGGCTGAAGCGCAAGCAGCGGATCGCAAAGCGGGCGTCTGATGAGCTGAAGGAGGGATACTACGTCAACTTGGGCGTGGGCATCCCGACGATGGCGGCGTGTTTTGTGCCCAAGGAGAGGACGGTGTGGCTGCAGAGCGAGAATGGCCTTTTGGGCATGGGGCCGCATCCCACGCTGGAGGAAGTCGATGCGTAAGTTTTCTTTGTCATGGGCTTGTAAGATTTGAAGCTGACCCTGAGTGATAGCGATCTTGTCAACGCCGGCAAACAGACCGTCACTTTTGTCCCCGGCGCCTCGACCTTTGATTCTTCAGAGTCCTTTGGCATGATCCGCGGCGGCCATGTCGACGTCTCCATCCTGGGTGTAAGCATTTTACTCTATACGCTATTCCCAATCTCTTCAAAGCTAACATGACTTCCTCAGGCCCTTCAAGTCAGCGCGGGAGGCGATCTCGCCAACTTCATGATCCCCGGCAAGCTCTTCAAGGGCATGGGCGGCGCAATGGACCTGGTGGCCAACCCCGAAAACACAAAGGTCATTGTCGCGACGGAGCACGTGGCCAAGGACGGCTCGTCCAAGATTGTGCAAAAGTGCAGCTTGCCGCTGACGGGCGCTCGATGCGTGAGCACCATTATCACAGACTTGGTATTTAAACCCCCTTATACACTCCCCCCCTTTTAAAGATCGAGCACTAACTTTTGCTTCTTAATAGTGCGTCTTCCAGGTAGACCGCGTGCAGGGCACCCTGAAGCTCACTGAGCTTGCTCCGGGCGTTACTGTCGAGGAGGTCAGGAGCAAGACCGATGCGGCGTTTACGGTAGCGGATGATATCATCACCATGGCATAAGAACTATAGATGTAGATTTTGTTGGTCTTTAGAAAGAGGAGGAATGAGATACCCACACGGGAAACATTACCAATTAAATGGAGTTTTCAAGGTTACGATCAACAACAAGATCAGAGAGCATTTGGATGGATATAATTGGTTTACTTGTAGTTCTTTTAGGTTATTCATTCTTAGCGTTGGATGCTTAGGACAAGGGCATTTATTTAGCATTGGCATAATTGGATATGGATGCACATGAGGCTGCATTCCCGGTTATGCATATAATCTTTTCATATTACAGTTTACGGCTCATCTATAAGACCAACATTATTCAAAATGTACATCTCATCATCATCATCATCATCATCACAGCTTCGCTCCAAAATTGCTCCCCCCCAGCCCATCCACAATCCTATCCACAGCCTTCAACATCCACTCCCCCCCCTCATCCCCCGCCAACCACCTCACGCCCTCCTCACTCTCCCTCTCCTCTTTTACGCCCTCAACCTCCAAATCATCCCGAAACGTCCCGTCATCAACCGCCTTCCTCAGCCCAAACACATGAGACAGCACTTGCGGCCCAACGCCCGTCTGCGCCCTCAAGCTCGCTACCGCCACCAAGCTCGTCATGACCCTCCCCAGGCCTCTCTTCGTCTGTCCCCCTTCCGGATCAGACAGTAACGGCCCGTAATGGCAGTTTAGAATCACCACGGGTAAATCAGGATGCGATACGCCCAGCTTATCAACCAACTTGTCTTCAAACGGCGCGTAAATAGAATCCCACAAGCCTCTGCCCCGGGCCTTCACGCTCTCAACGTTCTCTGCTGTTAGTGTCCGCGATGACTCCCTGCCTAATGCCGCAGTGATATGCTCGGGAAGAGACGCGTGAAAGGCATTAAGGCAGTTGATTGTGCGCGGGATGCCGTTGAAGGAGATGCACTTGAGGCCGACTTCGCGGATGAATTCTGCAGTGCGCACCTCGGCTGTTGAAGAGCCTCCTCGCTCGGCGGTGGCGACGCCGTGCAGGATGGAGAGCGCGTCGGGTGAGTTGAGTGTGAACGTAGCAGCGGCCTATCTTTTGATTAGTTGCTTCCATTATCCCCCCCCTGACATTGTCATCAATCTGTTGAAGAAAGGGCTTATAACATCCTCATAACATATTTCATCAAACGAAGCCCAAGAATTAAGGCAATCAACCTTCCACAGGTTCCAAGCGCACAGCAGATATAAAACTACTCACCGAAATCGCCAGCCACGCCCTCGCCCCAACGCCCTTCCCCCTCGCCTCCCGCGCAATCCCCCGAAACACCTCCCCCATCACCGCCGACGCAGCGCCCTTTGCGACCCTGCACGGCCCCGGCCTCGCAAACGGCGCGTTGATGAGCGCTTTGAGTCCTGGTGAGAGTTTCGACATGTTGCGCCGTCTGCGTCGCTTGTCGGCTGATGTAGATGAAGATGTAGATGAAGAAAACGAGGCTGTTGTTGAAGTTGAGCTTAGTGGCTGTCGTTGTGGTTGTTGATCCCGCTCAGCGCGCAAATGCTTAACTTCTCCCGTCATAACTCCAAACACACCCTTTCTATATATATATATGAGCCCTCTCTTTTAAGCTTCAGTGCTCAATTAGATATGACATAATACCGGCATACTGAAACCAAAAGACAGAGAGAATAGGTAAGAAAACGGGGTTCTATGCCGAAACCCACATTTCTGGACCCCGGTTGCCGTTCGGCCGGGCCTCGGCTATACATGGCGCCGGGGAGAAACAACATCGCTAATAAATATCATAGAAGCTGTTCTTCTTTAACGAAACGTATAATATATCTATATTAATATCTCTGTAATGTTATGAACAAGATATCGCAAAGGATAGCAATACAGACTTGCATCCAACTTTAACTGAGAGCCCTGCGCACAATACTACACAGTGTATATCTCAGGTGTTTAAATGGTGTGCAACATGTAGAGGAACCATCCGAGCAGATAGTTACAACATCAAAGCATTATCAATCATTAAATACCCTCAAGACATAGTAAAAGACAATAAATCTCACCATGATACAATCACCCACACCCTCCCCTCCAAGCACACCCTCTTCCCACATCCCGTCGAAAAAAAAAGTCTCCGAAGCCATATAACCCGAAAGGCGGAGTCCACATCTGAATGCCGGCTACATCTGAGCACCGACTCCGCCCTCACCCTTGCAAATCCAGAAAAGAAATACCACCATACATACAGACCATTTAGACTAGATAGCAAACAGTACAAGTAAGAGCGGGACTATTGAAAACCGAAATCAGCCCGTCCGGAGGAAAAGGGAGAGGGAGGGTGGTATTGCATCTGAGGCTCGGACAGATGCCGCCAAGCACATGCAAAATTGCCTGCTTTTTTTTCTTCTTGGCATAATCAACAGGGAAAATAGAAAATCATACGATTCTGCTTCGTTGGATGAGAATGTTTGATGCGAGCCAATCGTTAGTTTTCACGTCGTAATTCATGCGTCTGTTGTACTCTCTTAGTGTATATACAATACGCCCGTGAGCCGGGCAATAATATGCGTGAAGCTTAAACAAGACTAATAAAGCTGTAAGCACCTCTAGCAACTTTTCCCCACACTTTTGGTTGGTTTTCTGATACGACCACCATCCATGTGCCACTCTTAAATCGTCCTCCAGCCGTCTCTAATCATAACCAAGTTGAAACCGGTAACCATCTTTTAGCACTCGCTGATAACCCAAAAACGAGAGAACCCCTCTCCATATATGCCTTCATATCCAAAAGTCGCCAAATTCCCAATGCATTCTCTCTTAGTTCGCGTTGAAAGCTGGCCAGTTCAGCCAGTCAAAATTGTTCATGTCTTCCCATGACATACCGCCGCCAAACGATGGCTCAAACACGTTGCCGGGCTGGTTCAACACCTGTGTTATCTGGTCATCCGACATTGTTGAAAATTGCACCATATCCGGCCACAACACTTGTTGGTCCATAAAGCTACTTGGTGGTGCCGGTGGCGTTTCTTGCATTGGTTCCGTTGATGAAGGCGTTGTCCGTCTTGGCTTTGGTGGTCGGTTGGGTTTTGGTGGACCTGATGTTTGTAGTAGGTGCTGAAGATGTTTCCCGTACAACACTGAAAGTCCGTTTCTATGCGGAGTGATTGTCCCAATCCGCTCCAGTACACCGGTGGCCTCTTCAATCAACCTTCTGATGCTTGGTGCAAGCCCAGAGCCATCTGGGGCATACGAGCTGATATTCAAAGCAAAGCAAGCCGCAAATGAAATCATTATGGCGGTGTTATTGGGCATCGACTGCAGCTGCGACTCTCCCTGAATCGCTGCTCTCATCACGTTCAGGGCTGCCGACAGTCCGGCCGTTCGGAAGAATATACGAACCTCGACTGGTGCTGTTGGGTGGTTGATGATGCGCCCATACGTCGAAAGGCGAGTGTGTGCAAAGAGAATCTCGACATATGGGGGCAGGCGACGCTCTATGATTGAATAAGTAAGCTTTCTTCTCACTCTCAACTCTTAGATGGCTTACCAGGACCCAGGCCAATCATCAGACCCCATTCTGCGAGCCACTGATCGAAAAATCGCTCGATAGATCCTTGTATCCTAGGCAACGTGTTAGAGATTCAACAATACGATATTAACAAACGAGAAACGAAAGACGTACGACCGAGCCACCAGCGACCCATCACTGTTACTAGTCTGCGAGCCATCGCAAAGCGCACGAACCGTATTAAAGAGAGAATCCTGCCATATACATATATCAATGAATTGAGCTTCGAAGGGGGAAACAATTTGAAACCAGTATTGCCTTACCAAATCTCTTCGTACCGCGGCCATGGATGCCACGGGGCCATCCTGCTCATCTGCCAGAGGGGACCGGTGCCAGGTATCGACATCCTTGATGTTTCTGGTGATGGGAATCATGAATGGCCTACCGCGAGCCAAAGACATTCTAAGAATCCATGTTAAAGGAGGCCATTATTCAAGATGACCAAATTTCAAACCGCACTTACCCTCTCTCGACGACAAACAGAGAAATATAACATCTTTCTCGGGCTCGCAGCAATAATTGGCCTTGTTCTGACCACGGGTCTACGTCTGGAAATCCATCGATGGCGAGGGCAGCTCGCGGATCCAAGCATTCTCCTCTCGACACATTCGTTGACCCCGACTCTAGGGCGTCCCTGGGCATCAATGTTTTGTGAAGAGAGAGATCGAATGCAATGGTTGTCGCTATCGAGATGTATATGCAAGTCTCATCATCCATGGTGTGGTCTCCCGGAAATATCCATGGTATGTGGGTCATAAACGCCAAGACGATCTCTACGGACTTGTACTTGTCGTTGATCACCTTTTGAGCCAGCAACTTGACATGATTAAACAGCCTTTTGGATAAGGGGCCTGCAGTAGGCATAAAGAGCGTAGACGCGGCCATGACCGTTGTAAAAAGAAATGCAGATCGGCTGCGCGTATAAGCCGCTGTGTGGACTCGAGGAGAGAGCCCCCATCTCGTGTGTACGAGCTTTGAATAGTAACTGCGTATCATCATGAGCCCAACCGTTGATTCTTCATTTTCGTTTTCATCTTCTCCTTTCATATGCTTTAATGGGAGGGAACAGAGTTGTCTTACTAGTCAAACAATGACTCAGCCTCGTCCATGGTGACGAGACCGAGGTCGACGGGGTCAAGGTCCTCGCCAACGTCGAGCTTCACCTTGGTCTGTGAGAAGAACCGCTCGACTCTAGCAGACTCGGGGTCCTTCTTGGACGAGGATGAGTCATGCTGCGGATTCTGAGGCGAGTCCCGACGGCTACGACGACCACTGGACGGACGGAAGTAGGACGCGCGCGCCAGCAGCTGCAGAGGGTTCTCGGCGTCGTCAATGGCCAGGCTCTCCTCGGTGCGCTGCACAAAATCGGCCATGGACCGCTGGCCGGCGCTGTCGTTCTCGTCGTCGTCCTCACTCGAGGTCAAGCCGGCCTCGTCCTGCGTGTTGCTCTGCGAGCCTTGCCTCGACGAGTGCTCAGTCGCATCTTCACTAGCGTCTACGTCATCCAGCAGCTGTCTCAGATTGGCCACGAGGTTTCTGTCCTGGGCCCCTCGCGGCTCTCCTGACTTGACACGCTTCACGGCCTGCTCGATCTGATACAGCGCCTTGTCGATGCCCACACGCTTGCTTTACTGCTGGTCAGCACATCTGTCACGGCCTGTATGATAGAATCATGGTTGGTTTGGGAGCTTGCTTTTTAATGCCCTTTTGCCTGCCGGGATGGAACTCTGGGCGAATACACTCGCAGTTCAGGTGGATGCAGCGTCTACACTTTGCCTCGTAGGGCATCCAATCACACTTGATCTTGCTGCGCCTGCAGACCAGACATGCGGCCTGTTTCGGACGGGGCGGTTGCTCGGCCATGGTGCCCTACAGCCTCGCTGCAGTTTGGAGCAAGTCTGGATCGCGTCGAGTCGCGCACTAAGATAGTCACTTTTAGAAAAGAATTGGACGAGTTTGAGGAGGCAGCTGATGCTCGTTGTCGAGGAGCGGCAGGGTTGATAGCATGCGAAGAAGGAGGCGCCGTTCACAGTGCAGCGCTGTCTACTTGCACGGAATTAGGAATGGCCTAAGCCGTGCTCTCCGGCGCTGTCATCCGAGTTGAGCACCACACAGTCTTGGGAAACGCGGCTCAGATGCAGCCTTGCCGAACGCCGAATGCCGGCCCGCCAGCCCATCATCAGGCGTACTGTATAACTGGCACTGTCGAGATATCTTGACAGCAGCCAATCTCTGGGCACGTTGAAGACAGATTCGACAAGGAGCCGTGGCGCCATGGTTACACTCTCACTCACTCATCTTCGTTTGTTGCCGGTGTCCCGACACGACTGCGTCGCAACCCAGAAGTTCTTGTCCGACCTGCCTTGGAGAGACATGCCCGTCGACGATGTTCATGGTCTAGGACCAGCGAGGAATCTAAACTCTGTCACAAGTCGTGTCTTGACCAGATACGATGTCGATTAGGATTCGGACAGCGAGAGATTCGAGGCCGCTGCTCCGTCAGAATGCACGCAATAGGATGTTTAGTCAGAAGCCGGAAGCCGGGTTGCTAAAATTATCGCCGCCTCTCTGGCGATGCTTTCCACATCTGTACTAGCCACAGCGAATTAGCCTGTGCCTTGCCGCTTCTGCGTCGAATCGTCCAGTCAGGTCGCTCCGAGACCGCACCATGCATATTGGAACAGGATCTTGTTTTGCCTCAATGACGAAATCAGGCTTTGCAAAGAGAATGAAGTTTCCTTTTCAGCTTCAACCCCTTGCTGCGCGCCACTGTTCACCGGACGCTTACTGTCTCACATCGGAGAGCTTGGCCAGTGGGAGTCTCTCCGCAAAAGACTTTAATCCCGCGGGGAGAGTGGATGCGGCGGGTGCGATTCAGTTTCTGGATGATTGAATCAGCCTTTTCCAAAGCAACAACTTCATGGCGCGACCAAGGAGGTAAATTATGCTGTACCATTTTGAGACGCTATTCCGAGATCAGGTGAGTGAGCGATGTCTCCGTATATGAGTACCTAATAGGGAGCAGAGTGGATAAAAACCTAGCAAGCGCCGATTTCGATTACTTAATCAAGAATCAAGCATCCAGCACCCGGATGCCAATTCCTTCCAGATTGTCGATCGCTGCAACAGGCCTGAAAGCCCAAATAAGCTCAGCAGACGAGGCTGCAATAAGCAATTCATCGCCTAGCTTGGCTTGGAGGACGAGGCGGTTCAAATACTAGCGGTGGAAGCCGTTGTCTGACATGTCGCCCTCTTGGCTCTTCAGAATCGGCATGCCCGCCAACCGGTATAGGAAAATTGGCGTGGCAGATTTCGGACTAGCCCGTCCAATGGAGATGGCATGGAGAAGATGGAGAAGCTGGAGAGACGAAGCCACATGGCGTCCGAGACTGCCCGCTTTTCTCCATCTTGTCATCTTGTTAAACTGCTGCCTGGCTACCGGTCGTTTGAGTTACCCATAGTCGCGGTAGTCTGTGGTAGCGGTGCTGCTAGCTATTAGTCGTGATATTATCATGCAGTAATTCCATATAGCGATTTGCCCTGATTTCTCAGCGGCCTCGTACGGGCGTCAAACGAGTCGCAGCCAACGCAAGGGGTCGGATCTGCCCATCCCTTCAACCTGCGTCCTGAATATGCGGCCACACGTAGGATGGAAAACAGGCGAGCACAGCGGTCTGTGGGTTGCAAGTGACACCCTCTGCGCGCTAGCTCGAGTTGGCTTACACGGGCTTCTGCTTGATGACGAACGGCGAGGAGCTGGTGAGGGCATCACCGGCAGACATGCCCGCATTCGGGTGTCGGGCCTGGTCTCGAGACGAGTCGCTAACCGGTGACAAGGCATGGATTCACTCGCATCGTTTTGCCAGCTCTCACCAGCGCATCTCCACCGGTGAAGCCTCGACGAATGGCCACAGCCCAGACCAGGGGACTAGTCCTCGTAGTTGAGCAATGCCCGAGTCAAAGCTCTGTCCGACATTATGTACTCTGCTCAACTCAATGAGACGAGGCCCACCCAGAAACGCCTGGTCTCTGCAAGGGGAAACGACGAGGGAAAATTCGCTCCACCATGAGTAAGAAAAAAATCAGAAATCAGGACTCTCTCCGCACCCGCATGAAGCCGTACATATGCACAGCGCAGCTCTTCTCCAAATCCGGCCGCTGTCTTGCACATCTTTGCAGAGAACGAACACGCTTGCATGGCCTTACCAACACCCAGGATGTTAGTATTTATTTAGCATTGACAGCAGCAACACGCAGCACACAGCACACAACACCAAATCTGCGCTTCACCGCGACTCTGCGCAACAACGGCTGCTTCTGTTTATTCTTCCAGAACCCACAGCTATTGTTGTTCTCGACGCCACCGGCCAGAAACAAGCTCACGCTATGCTAGCCCGTGGCCCCTGCCAGAGTTTTTATTCTGCTGCCTGGAGCTAACCGCAAGTGACGGCCTGGGCTGCTCCCAAGCGCCTTCCCATTCGACGCCTCGTGTGCGCTTTGCCCCTTCCTGGACCTTCGTGGCCGTGTGGCGGCATCAAAACCCTCCGCAAGTACCTGCCGCTGCGGTCATTGGCGCTATCGAGGTACTTGGCACGGCGATCTGGGGCTAACGGCACATGCCCAACTGCCGCCGCGAGCTGCAGCAATTCTGGCGATGGCCTCGTTAAGGCGCTGCCATGCGCCGCTGTCGCGCCCCGGCCACAGTGACTCGCCGCCGTGTACCGCTGGCCCTCCACACGAATGATCAGGTGCAGGGGAGGCCACAGCCGAAGCCCCCAACCCTCTCCACAGCCTGAGCAGCAACCCCAACTTCATCCGCCAGAGATCCCCCATGGGATGGCCTGTCCAAGCTGGGGCCCCTCAGATTTTTTTTGCAGGCCCGCCATGGGGAGATTTGGGGTTGTCGATTGCTGATCCGGCCGCCTCCTGTGCGACGTGATGGTGTATATAAGACGGCCGTCCACCCTCGATGAAACCCTCCGAGTACCTTATGCAGGGCACAGCCGGGCTTCTACGTGGTTCACATTGATAAACAGCTGGCAGAGCCTCTGATTCTCAGACTTGTTTATTGTCTCTGTCTTGTTTCATTCCATTGTCTCAGAGTGTGAATCAGTGGCCTCGTGGCTCCGACACAATGGGTGTAGACGACAAGATCGCCGCCGAGGTGGCCTACCCCGAGCACGATGAGAAGATGTAAGTCATCTTAGCCCCTAATACATGACACTATGTGTGTCTTGCCTTTTATATACACAGCGGTAATACTAATACGCTTCCGTCTTATATAGGGTCCGAGACTCGTCTCAGGACGCTGGCAACAAGCTTGCTGCCCTGACCGAGAACCTTGAGGGCGAGATCCGAAACCCGCTCAAGGGCATCCCCCAGCACACCCTCTTCGCCAATGTCGAGGACTTCCAGAGAACAAAGGGCCTGCCCAGCGACATTCTCCCTCTGCTCCAGAAGGGCGCCCTCGTGGCACAGAACCCGGCTGCTTTTGAGAGCATCAATGAGCTGGATGAGGACGAGAAGCGAGCTCTGAGGGAGGAGGCCACACACCGATGGAAGCACCCATGGTCACTCTACTATACCATCGGCCTGAGCTCCATTGCCGCAGCCATTCAGGGCTGGGATCAAGTACGTGTTATGCCTCAGCGATGCGTATCTCCTTTCCACTAACGACTTTTGCAGACTGGATCAAACGGTGCCAACTTGTCCTTCCCCCAAGCTCTCGGTATTCCAGACAACGTGCCACTCTGCGGACCTGACGCCAACGCTGGTACCTGTGCTAGAAACAGCTGGCTGATTGGTTTGGTCAACTCACTGCCATACATCACCATCTGCCTTTTGTAAGTTGGCTGCTTGTCTGTTATGCAAAAGAAAGCAATACTAACAATGTATCAGCGCCGGATGGATCGCTGATCCTCTCAACGACTGGCTCGGCCGTCGTGGCACAATCTTCCTGGGCGCCATCTTCTCTCTATTCGCCCCCTTTGGTATGGCCGTTTCCCAGACCTGGGGACAGCTTGCTGCCTGTCGGTAAGTAAACATGCCAGCCCATCAATTTTGAATTCAGCTGCTAAATGTCTACTAGTGTGCTTCTCGGTATCGGTATGGGCCTGAAAGAAGTGACTGTTCCTGTTTACGCTGCTGAGAACGCTCCTGCCGCTATTCGAGGTGGTCTTGTCATGTCTTGGCAAATCTGGACTGCTTTTGGCATCTTCTTGGGAACATGTGCCAACCTTGCTGTCGGTAAGGTCGGTGATATCGCCTGGCGCCTCCAGCTTGGCTCTGCCTTCATCCCTGCAGTTCCCTTGGTCATTGGTACTTTCCTTTGCCCTGAAAGTCCCCGTTGGTACATGAAGAAGGGAAAGCACCTGAAGGCTTGGAAATCACTGCTGCGACTTAGAAACTCTCCCCTTCAAGCCGCTAGAGATCTCTACTACATCCAGTGCATCTTGGATCAGGAGGAACTCCTTGTCGAGCAAGCCGGCCTCACAAAGACCAACAACATCATCACTCGCTTCATTGAGCTCTTCTCTATTCCTCGTATCAGGCGCGCCACTTGGGCTTCCGGTATTGTCATGATTGCTCAGCAGATGTGCGGTATCAACATCATCTCCTTCTACTCCAGCACCATCTTCAGACAGAGCGGAATTTCCGACTACACTGCTCTGTGGGCCAGTTGGGGCTTTGGCTTGATTAACTTTTTGTTCGCTTGGCCTGCCGTGTGGACCATCGATACCTTTGGTCGACGAGCCCTTCTTCTCTTCACCTTCCCCAACATGTTCTGGACTCTTCTCAGTAAGTTATTGCGCCAACCAACGTATTATAACGCTCCAGCTAACCACGTCTGCAGCTGCTGGTCTTTGCTACCTCATTCAGTCTGATGTTGAGAACAGCACGGCCCGAATTGGAGCTGTCGCAACCTTTGTCTACCTGTTCGACGCCTTCTATTCTCCCGGAGAAGGTCCCGTCCCCTTCATGTACTCTGCTGAGGTCTTCCCGCTGTCTCATCGTGAGATTGGCATGTCTTGGGCTGTCGCTACCAACAACTTCTGGGCCTCTATCCTTTCTCTTACCTTCCCACGCATGTTGGCTGCCATGTCAGCCCCCGGAGCGTTTGGCTTCTACGCTGGTCTTAACATTGTCGCCTTGATTCTCATCTTCCTCTTTGTTCCCGAGACTAAGCAGAAGACGCTCGAGGAACTCGACTATGTCTTTAGCGTCTCAAACCGCCGCCACGCCCAATACCAGCTCACCGAGGTGCTTCCATGGTGGATCAAGAGATACATCCTCTTGCAGAAGAATGGTCCTTGCCCTGAGCTTTATCACGACCAGAACAAGGCCCAGGCTGATGCCGGCAGAGCCTAATCTCCAGATGTAAATAATATTAACGTTGGGATGATGGTTGGAGATGGGTTTATAAGATACCACTTTTTTGTATTTAAAATTATGTGCTACAGCGATTGGGGATTCATGTCATGAATTCCCCGATGTAGTTATAATCAATGATGAATGAGAATCAATCATAAACTTTACAAGCTGTCACTCCTCTCTGCCTCTTGGAATAGATTGATGGTTAAATGAGTCCTTGTCTGTTTCAGACTATGCCTTGAATTTGCCGAAGTATTGCTTTAACTCTCAAAAGCTAGATTATCACTCCAAGGGGAAGTTGTCTACCAAGAGGACGGGACTGGTTTATGTATACCTGAAAAGAATTATCACATGCTTTATCACTTGCCTCAATAGAAATGAAAAGTACCCCAGAGACTCAAAGCATGAATGCAAAGAGGACGAGGCAGTATGTTCTCAGAAAGGTATACAAATTTATAGAGTATGATAGTATTGCTCGTATACCGAAACATTCCGTTTCCCACCTACCGCTTCTACTTTACTATATCTGACGACTTACACAAGGATTTGAGTTGTAAATAAGCAGCTATAACTGCATTGAGAATAGAAGTAAGCATACTTGAGATTTTCTTCTCGTCTACTCAGACCCTCAAGTTCTAGCATCAATAAAGCCGAAGATTGATGGGGCCTCAACGAGCCCTACGCGGCAAAGCCTCGTTGAGCATGCACGAGGGCATTGTAATGGCGTTTTTATATCCATATTGTTATATTGTATCGTTAAGTTTGTTTCTGACACTGGTGTTGGTGATATAAGTTTGTCAGATGGTATCGTCTGAAAAGTTGGTATACCGTTATCCGGACGTTTGTGAATTGTGTAAATATAGAGCCCTGGAAGTGGTTTAGGAACATGTGGCTTTACATCTATCGGTCTGCTTCATTTCCAAACTCGTCTTTGCGTAGGTGGCTAGGAAGATTAAGGAACCTGTGCTCTGATGTGAGGAGAGCGAGGATCGAGCGCTTGTGTTTTGTGTTTCAGTTTTACTTGTGAGTATGTGGCTATGAGTTAAGTTTCACACTGTTGCAGACAAGAACGTTATTATGAGGTGATGGTTATTCTTTAGTAATTCGAATCAAACTGTCTGGACTGTTTCGAAACAGTCCTAGGAGAGACACAACTGCGTTTCCCACGATAGCCAAACGATGAATGTTTCCCTGTTCAAAGTTTCCACCTCATTGACATGCCTTGCAAAATAAGTCCTGCAGCTACAATGGAACAGGCAAGTCCCCTTTAATTTTATTATTTCACTCTCGAAAGCTTTAAGCGGGCATCATTAATGTAGATCCACTCTAGAAGCCTCGTTCACAGTAAATTAATCATGCTCATTGCCGTTATTGTTGCTTTGAGATGAGAAAAAGAGCACGTTTCTAGCATCCGCCGTCTCGCAACTTGAAGCAATGGCTTGATTGAACTATCAGCGAGCGTAGCCAGGCAGAAAGCTCAGATCTAGCCAAGCCTATTTGTCGCGCAACCCAGCACTGGTCTTCACAGTTCATATAGCCTCCGCATCCAGTGATTGCAATACATGCAACAGTGATAATGTAAATGAACCTGATCTTTTTTTCTCTTTTCCAAACAATTTTCTAATTGACCTTTGATGCTGAGAGCGACCTCACTCTGCTGAGTTCCTCGCTAAATTCGTGTAAGGCATCAGTAAGTCTTGGTAAAGCAGGTATCATGCTCGACATGCTATCGTGCTCGTCTCTTATGCCAACACTCGTTTATTCCAGACTAAACGTCGTATGTAGCTGTATCAGCCAGTGTGACAGAAGCAAAGTTCTTAAAGTCTATCTCAGACTTCCACTATAGATGCCCGGCACACTATAAGCTTCGATATCTCGTCACTAGAGAATTTAATTATCTCTAATATTCGTATCCAGAATTCGCTGCTACTCTTTTAAAATGCCACGAGAGATAGTCAGCTTGATTTTTTGCCTTGAACATCACTTAAGCTGTCAAGCCCAATTTTAATGTATTTGAGGAATTTGGATAGTATTGACCTCTCCTGTGTAGCCGCCCACTTCCGTCTTACGGAACCCGTGCTATTTGCGTTTAAAGTGAACGTTGATTCATACTTTGATCTAGTGATATATTCTCCAAGGCGCTATTAGAAATATTGAAAAGTACTGACATAGTTGAGACGTCTCTAGGGTATAACGTAAGAAATACCAGCCCGTAAGACTCTGAACAGCTACAGACGATGAACTAAATGATGTTACTCTGTTTGATCCATAATGAGCAGAATAGGCATCCATTATTGTGTCTTATTTTGCTTTGAAACTTGGCAACCCGTACTGAAATTGCGAATTGGAGCTATTTTATCTTTGACTGTGGGTCGACATACACACATTCCTCCTTTGGCGGCTTTAATCGGATTATCTCTGGTAGCTAGATGCCACATATATTGGCTTACTTGCTGAGTCGTAGATTGCCACTGTCATTACAGATGCATCGGATACTCCACATCCAGGTGCTGAATAATGGATGTGTACGTGATCCCCCAACGTTGACTGTGGCTATGACTGGACCATGTAGAGTCGGTAGAAGTTTATATGGACGAATCTGTAAAGTGGTATAAATGCAAGTGCTGAGTGTTACTAGAGACAAATCAAACAATAATTACGATTAAATACCCCTAACACATAAAGAAGCCTCGTCAGAATATTATCCATATCATACCTGAAATCTCTCTTAAACCAAGACACTAGTCAGACAGTACAGGTAGTGGTAGTAGTCAGCAATCTCATACTAAGATGGCTAAAACGCTTTTCCCCTCATCATATCCTGTCAAAAGCGTATTAAAGTTCCGGCAAAGCCAAGTTTATACTTTCTCGGGAGTGAGACCGAGAGACTCTGCATAAGCGAGGTTATATACGCATTGTCATGACTTTATTTAGACATGATATGAGATTTTAGAGGATGAGATGGGGTCTTAACCGAGGCTTAGTAAAGGCGTATACCTGATATTCCATTTCGACTATATGACAGGAAAAGAGAACGCTTGAACTTTGTCTCAGATTCCAAAATCTTAGTTGAGCCGTTTGCATCGGAACCTGGATCTTCTTTTGATGCAGAGTCAGTCAATATCACGAGATTCCCCAATACTTCCCACACGCCCTCGCCTGCGCCGTACGACCCTTATAAGCCACTTTTCTTTTAAAAGTAAAGCAATCACAAGAGCAGAATGAATAATGAATAATGGCGAATATACCCCGTCTCCGCGGGGTTGACGTAGGTGCCTGCCGCAACGTCCAAGTCCCGTGAACCCGCCTCGCCCGCCTTACCCGGAGAGCGAGCTTTTAAGCTGGAATTATTTGCTCCTACACGTTCCGATGAGTCATCCGCAGCAGCAATAGCCATTTGCCTTGGTCCTCAAGTCAGGAGGCCAACAAACATCAAGTCAGCCCAGAAACCTTTCGGCGATGTCTTAGTGGCCGCCTTGCTGCTGAACTGACGAGACCAATTTACGAACACAAAAAAACGTGTTGCAAGTTTAGCTAATGCTTAGCAGCCGTGGGATCAACACGCTGCCACGTTTTTTCTCCTTTGCTTCCCGCCCGTTTACAGTTAGCATTCACACGTTGCATCGCGATGGTGCACAGCTACTAACATCATTTAGGCAAAAAAGGGAAAATCATATCGTCTTCTAAAACAATACAGTAAGGGCTTCGTTGTTTAAAAATGAGATCGATCATTTATTCTCGGGCAAGCAAGGGGATCACCGATGATGTTCCTCGGGCCGTTGAGAAGCGAGAGGAAAAAAGGACAAAACCGACATGACAGCAAGCTTCGTTACAGCTCTCCCGGGCGAGCCGTGGTCCCGTAGCGCCGGAAGTTTTCTGTAGCCCGCGGGGCGAATTTTGAGTATCAGAACAATGTGCCTAGTGGTAGGCGGGCCAATGAAGGCAGCGAAGAGCCCTTTTGCTTCTCTTTAGCCGGACTTTGCATATGCATGGAACATTCTTTGGAAGGCAGCGTGGTGGCTTTAGTTGGCCGAAATTGAATGAGCTGGAGCAAGGTAAACAGCTGAAGAATGGATAGGAGGTAGCTGGTGTTTGCTGGTGTTGGAGCTGGTGGCAGCTGAGGGCTTGGGGGTTTGCTGCAGCTGAGACGAAATATGCGTCAAACGCTGGCCTTTTTGGCGGTGGCTGCTTTAAGTGCCGCTGTGAACAACTACATGCCAATAGCATGAGCAGCGGGAGGATAAAATAGAATTCACCAAAAGCCATGTCAAAATGCCAAGCAAATAGATCAAACTCCAAATACTTACCGATAACACAGCCATACGCAGTAAGCCCAGCCCCGCAAATGGATCTTGCCTCATGTAAGCCTTCAGATATCGCATATCTAGATAATAACGGCGTATAGATGGGAGGGTGTGTCTGCCAGCCCATTGTCGCCGTCGGAAAGCAAACGCCCTATGCCAGGCTCAATATATCCTAAGGCACGAGCATGAGAAGAAATGCTATTGGGGGCGTGTGTTCTTCGACTTTGGCCCATGGCTTTGGGTCTGACCAACAAGAGGACAAAGAGGCTAGAAGATTGGCCAAAGTTTCTTTCCGCCCTTCTAGGGGCGGTTTCGGGGAAGCGCCGGTGCCACGGGCCAATGGCAGGACTGAATTGGGGGCGAGTGTGATTTGGCATGAATGAGCACGAAGGAGAGGGAAAAAAAAAAAAAAAAGAGCTGCGGCTTGGGCCTACGAAAAGTCCTAGTCCTTACGCACTATTAGCGCCCAACGCCCTTGTGAGAGTGTCACTGTCTACTGTGTCTCTTTTCTGCCTTTTCCAATAGCGCCGTCGACATGGCTCAAAAGGCGGGAAGCGAAAGAGCGCGGGACAACGGGCCTGGCAGCTCAATTCAATCCCGTTGGCCTAGACCTGGAAAACCCGCCGGTCCGTTGGAAAATAAGAAATAAGAATTACAGGGCCTAGACTTTCTGCTTCGCGGGGCCGGGGGGTC